AGATGCTGGCCACTCTGCAACCATTGTCTCCATGATTTACTTTAAGGAAGAACTGGATGGCTTGTAACTGCTTCTGCATGCTCTGCAAGTTAATGGATTACTTTGACATTTTTATCACATCGTTCATCTTCTATTTGTTTCTGAAGAGCCTATGGTTTGTGATTTTCTTTATGGGAACAGACTCCTATCTGATTTCTCCACTTAGTAATGTACAAAATACTTAGAAATACTGTATTAGTTCCTTGATGTTTTGTAGTGGGTTTGCAGTTTACAGGAACTGCTGAAAAGAAAATGAAGAAGGACCGTTTAGTAGCATGTTATTACAGGATGAAGTCATCTATTTCTGCTCCAGTTCAGTGAAATACTTAATTTGTACTTTGAGCCTATGCTTAAAGACTTTGGTAATTTTGGATCTGGCTCACAAGTATAGGATTTCTTCTCTAAATGTCTTTGAGACACATTTTTAAAGGATAATAATAGACCTTGTATCGTACTTTTGTCATAGATCCCAAAGTGCTTTGTAATGGAGGTCCAGAGCAATGTCTTCATTCTATGGTTGCTTTGCCTCAGTTTCCTTCTGCAATGTGCATGTTTTATTTCTCTCCAGTATGGGCTAGAATAAAAATGGCATTGTAAGAAAAAGCAACAAAAAGAAACTACTAAAGAGAAAATACTTAGTAGTGTTAAGACATGTGATTTGCCTTCTTGAAGAAGTGGATTAAGTGGTAGGAACACAGTAGATCACTTTCCAAGAGAAAAGTAAATTGAGACTGATGAATTTTTAGAATTTCATTCAGTATATTAGTAGAAGGTTGGTAAATAGCAGAAGCTCAAAATAACAAATGGTTTCACTTGGGCAACAGCAGAGAGTGTTGGGATGAATTTTGGTTTATTTTGTATCAGTACTGTTCAGTGAAGTGTCTTGGTGCAACTAAGGAAGACTTTTTCCTACTTACCGATTGCAAGCTAGTGCCCGTTAGGAAGCCCTATCTGTGGTTGTTGGGGTCATGCATGAAGCGATATGGGAGTGCAGTGGCCTCTGCATTTGGAAGTGCTGGGCAGGCATACAGATCTCAAATACTATTTTTTTTCTCGGCAGCTGAATGAAAATTTTGATTAGAGATCCATAGTGAAAAAGAAAGAAAGGAAATGCCAGCTTTTCAGAAAGGAATAGCAAATCATCAGTTTTGATGAACAGAAGGTGACTCACATTTTCAGTGCCATCTTCAATTTTAATTATTCCACTGAATAATCAAAATGAAAACAAAATGAAGATGCAGAGAAAGAATTTAATGTGAGATGAGTTTGAAAAGATTAGACTGTTTATGCAGCTGTATAACCTGAAGGTTATAAAGAACATTATTTTGATGATTTTATTTGTCTTTTCTCGAAATAAAAAGAAAAAACAAAGGAAAAACTGAATACACTGGAATTGGAAATCATACTGAATATAATTTTTAAAGATAATAATTAGCCTGTGGAAGTCTCCAAATGTAGTAAAGTATGCACTATAGAGACAATGAGTTCTGGGAATTTTTTTAACAAGCAGGTTTTTCTATATGTAATAAAATTATCTCCCGATCTGGTAGTTCCATCCATTTCAGTGAATAAGCCAAACATCTACTGCAGCAGTTAGGGAGGAGCTTACTCAAAACCATGTTTTTTCATGATTTTCCATCAGATTTTATAGTTTTTCTATAGCATCTGATACCAGTCACTGCTGAGAGAAGATCTCAGAGCAGCTGAACAGCGATCTGATGCAGTCTGTCGTTTTCTCTCCTTGTGATAATGATACTCATTTCTGTTGCCTCTTGAAAGCTAAACATATCCAGTAAGTATACAGAAAGGGGTAGGGAGAAATTGCACATAAGATATTCAAAAGATTAGGATAATTTATATGGTAGTAAATTAAAAGGTTACGATGAAATAGGTATAGAGTTAATGTTAGGTAGGTGTGTGCTTCTGTTCATCATTTGTTTCAATAGGAGAGGCAGGAATAAGTGAGCAAAAATACAGATTATTTTGTGCAACTTCATACAAGTACATCACTGAAGCCAAGAGCTTTGTAGGAATACAGAAAAAAATGTGTGTATTTGTATAATAAGAATTGAAATAAAGATTTTTGATGTAAAGAAAAACCATCATGCTTCAAGCAAAAATTGACATCTTATTGGTGAGGCTTAGGAAGAAACTTCCCTGGTAGGTACGTTATACTTGTTTGTTTTAGAAGGTTGTTTGACTTTGATTTTCTCAGTATCTCATAGTGTCTATTATTAGAGAGAAAATTCCCTACTAAGACAGACCAGCAGTTTGGTTGAGCTTGGGCATATCCATTTTTCTATTCTGAGCTAATCTAATTTTCTGCTGGTACTGTGTGTAACTCAATTCAAAGATAAAATGTTTTTAAAAGTAGTGGCACATCCTTGAGCCAGGTCACTGACCTGAATTTCATAGTATAATTCACGTTGCTTGGAGTCAGTACGTTGTGTCCGCATTGAACAGCCAGTCCTCCAGGGCAGACAAGACGACCAATCTAAGACAATCAGCAAAACCTTAGGCCGAATACTAAGATACAACTCCGGTTAACGATAATGAGGCAAGGCTTACATATGTAGCAGTAAAGTACATGAGTGATCAGTTCTGCATATCCTGTTTTCAGTTAGTGGCACCAGGGCAACTGACTGTTTTACTGTAATTTTATACTTTAAAGACAGCCCACCTATGCTATTGTTTTGGGCAGCTTCACGGGATGTTACATAGTTCTGTAACAGTATTTGGTCATTTGCATGAATAGCCCAGGGGTTTCCAATACCGTCCTTTTGCCATACTTCCAGGGCCTCTGCAGTCTTACAGCCTTGGGTGCCCCTGCTAGACTGCTCACTTTTACACATGGACTTCTAAAGCTATTCGCAGTTCACTCTACAGAACAATGAGATTTGAAAGTATGCGTATGTGTTTGTGTATACATACGAATATGATAATTTCTTACCTCCTTGCTGCTAATATCCAGTTATGACAATGTTATTGGTATGGATTAGAATTTAATTCTTTTTGGGTTATAGTGAGTATTTCTATGGACGGTATTGCAATACTATGTTATGCAGACGTAGCGGTAATGAGTCAGGAATTGGCACACTGTCCTCTGAGTCAGGATATTAGGGGGCATTGTGTACCAGAGGTACTTTCTTTTGGCTTAGCTGCAGATCTGACCATCTGTGGTCATAAAGATCCTGGGAATATTTTTGTAATAACCTAGTTTAGTGACCAAATTTTATTATGAGTAATGGCATTTGAATGAACTTTCCCAGATTATTACTATTACTTCTTTCATAAAATATGCTTGGTCATGTTGTCATGTTGTCCTGTTTATATATGTAATTTTATGTGTTTTAATCTGCTATTAATCATATCGAAGGTCCAAACAAAACTGTTGTTGCAGATAGTTTGCAAAGCTGTGGAATGCTCAAATCCCTTATGAATATTGATTGTTATAACTATGCCAGTGTGCACAGGCAGTTCAGACACTGCCTTGAGATGATCAAAGGTTATTGTCTGCAAACAACAGATTAATGACTTCTTCTGTCCCCTGTTATACCTCTTGGACATGAAAAATCACTAATCATACTGCTCTTCAAAATTTAAAAGCCTACAAGCAATTTAAACAAACAGTGAGAAGTTTGGTGATTCATTGGGATCTTATCAATGTTATAAAACATGCTGGATACGTATTAAAATAAAGAGCCTGTAGTGCCCTTAGGAAATAAGTTACTGCCCTTCATTTCTGTTAGAATTCAAGATAAATGTTAAGGTGTTTGACTGTTTCACTGAAATTTGATATATTTCAATACACTGGAGGAGCTATGTTGTTAATTCCTATATTAATTTCCTTTGAAAACTCTTGCTGGATATTTGTAATTCACGTACAGCTGATTCATACTTCTTTTTCTTCTATTACAGCTTAAAACATACCTGATAAATTTTGTGACTCTACTATGTGATATAGGGATTTTATACAATAAGATTTAACAGAGCATGTCTTCCCTAAAACAAGACAGAGGAAAATGTTTAATCACCCTCTCAAAATTATTTTTTCTAGGTTATCCTTAAAATGGTAAATAACAAACTGGAATAGGATTTGATACACATTTGTATCCAGGGACTTCCATCACTGATATTTTTTCATCCCTTCAGCAACACCAGCCTTATCACTTCTGTAAATCAAAACCTTTTGAATTTCTGTGATGGAGACTTGAAGTGACATTGTGAGATATCACAGAGCTGTCCCATCTACTAGTAGTTTAGGTAGCTCTAAGAAGCAGGGTTTTTTTTAAAAGATGGGTGAGTGTAGAAGCCTAAAATAGAAAGGCTTTCGTCTCCTTTGGAGGCAACAAAAAAGTAATTATTCCTTTGTATCTTCTGGTAGTGCCCGATAGCTATAATGAGAAAAGTATTTTCTCTGAAAAAAAATCCCCAAATCCACAGCCCCTGACTGCAGGGCTTTCCATTGCTTATTGAAAGCCCAAGGCCTGACTTTGAGTCCCAGTAGCTTATTCTTCAAGCTGGTAAGAGCTGGATCCCTCACAGAGGCAGTGAACAGAGGGGCTATAAAAGCAGAAGGCTCATTTGTGGCCAGGTTGACGATGGAAGGGATGCACCCGTGGCTGGGTGCATTCACACAGCAGACTGCATGTGACATGCAAAACTCAGGGAAATTATAATGTATTCTGGCTTCCAGCAGGGAAGAAGAGACAGGCAAGAGTAAATCCCACAAGTAGCTGGCTGGGACAGCGAGCTGAAAGCATGAGGACTTAAAATGACAGGCAAAAATGGCTTCTAGGGTTATTCCCAACCATCAGAGAAAACAGAAGTCCCATGGGTAGGTATCCAGTGAAAAAGCCACTCTCACTGACTTGGAAAAATACTGGGCAAATAGAGAACAAAGGGAAGATGTGACGCTAGCAATACTATGTTGTTGATATCAGTGTCTCGTTGTCCTATAGGTTTGAAGTTTGAGGAAATGCAAGAAAAGTTTGGGGAGGAATTCTTCAATATCTGCTTTGATGAGAATGAAAGAGTTCTTCGAGCTGTAGGTGGGACCCTTCAAGACTTCTTCAATGGCTTTGATGCTTTGCTGGAGCACATTAGAACTTCATTTGGAAGACAGGCCACCCTGGAATCCCCTTCTTTCCTATGCAAAGAGCTCCCTGAAGGCAATCTCATGCTTCATTACTTTCACCCACATCAGATTGTGGGATTTGCAATGATGGGAATGATAAAGGCAGCAGCAAAGAAGATTTACCGCTTGGAAGTGGAAGTAGAACAGGTCGCTAATGATAAGTTGTGTGCAGAGGGGACGAACCCAGGTAACTGCAGCTGTCTGACTTTCCTTATCAAAGAACATGAAAATGCAAATATCACAAAAGCACTTCCACCGGGAACTTCCCAGTCCCCCTTAGACCTGAGGATTAGCATCAGCACCTTCTGCAGAGCTTTCCCCTTTCACCTGATGTTTGATCCAAACATGCTGATTCTCCAGCTTGGAGAAGGTCTTAGGAAGCAGCTCAGATGTGACGCTCATAAAACTCTGAAATTCCAAGAGTGCTTTGACATAGTTTCTCCTAAAATCAGTGCCACATTTGAACGAGTTCTCCTGAGATTATCTACTCCCTTTGTCATTCGGACCAAACTTGAGGATTCTGGCTCTGAAAATAAAGATAAGGTAAGAACATTAATTTGTGTATATGTATGTGAGGGGAGAGGATTATTTATTCAGAGAGAAGCAGCTCAAGTCCTGTGTACTCTGGAAAGCTTACTTATGCCTTGCAAACTGGGGCTAAGTGGTATTCCCCAGCCAAGTGAATATTTTCCTAAATTATTTATAAGCTTTGCCTGTGATGTTGTAGCAAATCGTGACATTGCCATTCAGAAAATTCTGTGCTGTGGAGTTGAATAGTGCAGTTTAAATCAAAAGGGTGAGGAATTTTACCAAATGCCCACATCTAATCCTTAATTTCACTCCAGCTATATTATGATAACAATAATAGTTATTAAGCCATTTACTAGGGAATAGCTTTCAGTATGTTTTCTGAAAGACTCTCACTGCAGGGTTCATACTGCCACTTTATTATATCCTACTTCCCTATTTTGAAAAGCTGCTTTCTTCTGTGTTTCTTCTTATCTCTCACCCTGCACTCAAGGGAACCAGAGCTGTAAGTGGTACCAAGTATCACTTACACCAGTTTTAATGCTTTCCAGTCATTTAAATAGGCACTTGTCCTCCTACGCTGCCTCTTCCCTCAGGGTTTTAAAAGACAGCTACTTTAACTAGTGAGACCTATGTTGAGTTCAGTGCATCCCAGGTGAGTTAGGTGAGAACATGTCTTCTAGAGTGGACCTCTCCAAAGGTTGGATAGAGTTTGTCTCATTGAATATCCTTGAATTATGGGAAGGCTTTTTGGTGTGAAGTTGTGTTCCAGCTTTATGCACCGAAGTACTTATACTTAATGTTTACATTAAAAGCCTATGCGTGGGTGCCTTGGAAATACCGCTGCCCTAAGTGCAGGAATTACTGATTTTCAGGGTTTTTAAGAGATTGCACCCAAGGATAGTCAATTACACTGGGTACTTGGACACCTAAGTTCTGCCTATGGGTGCCACATTTACAGTTTAGGTGGTCTGGATATAGCTTGAGAAACTCCACCTCTGTTTTGCTACGTACACTGGACCAGAGTTTCAGAAAGACTCTTGTGGTAGCTGCATATCGAGTTCTGGGTTCTTTTCAAACTACAGCCACTTCTGACAACAGCAGTGTTTCCAGCTCCTCTTCTGGCTCTGCTCTTTGGCACCAATAAGCATGTTTCTGATGCATTTTCCCCTGGAAATAACATGTTCCCCCGAGAGAAGCAAACTAGTGCTTCTCATTTTGTATGAATTGATGTAATTCAACCTATTTAAAACCAAAAGGGAGTTTATTTTTCAGAATCTGTCCTCAAAGTCACCCTAGCCTTTAATTACGAAAAGGAAATGTTGTGTGAAAAGTTTGGAGGTGTTGGCTCTGAGCTACCTTTCGGGACAATTGTTTCTCCTTTGGAAGAGGCTTGTGCCGTGCTCCTTCCTCCCTCGGAGCCTGCGCATGCCTCTCAGGCACCTTCCCCTGCTCTGGGACAGAGTCACAGCTCTTCAACCGTCTTCTGCTCTTCCTGAATCTGCTGTAAATC